CCGAACCTTCGTCGTAGTTTTCTTGCGACGGCGAGCTCGTCAGGTTCATATTCTCCGGTCCAACTATTGTGGGTAAAATGATCAGCACTGATAAGCGACGTTCCGGTCAAGTCGACATGATTTCGATAGCGCCAACCGACAACAGAAATGTTCATAATGGGCACGGCAAGAAGTTGATTTGTGACTCACAGTGGACGGACAGCACCACCGGACCGCTGGTGCCGTTGCTGATCAGGTTGAACACGTGACACCGAAACGGTCCCAGATCATAGCGGGTCACGTTGAGGACGGTGAGTTTGGAGCCGCCGCCCGTGATCTGAACTCTCTCGCTTTCTGTAACTTCGGAACTGCCGTTCAGCCAGCGGAAGGAGGGCGAGGTCCCGGTTGAGGAGCAGGACAGATGGACGGGACCACTGAATTCAAACATTTCTGTGGCATTGGTCTTGACCTCCACTCTGGAAACGGGTGCTGTCAACAAAAATGAAAATAAAAGGGATCACAAAATAGTTTTAACAATTGCAGTGCAATCGTGGTTCAGGGTCAAACAGCCATCAAATCTATTGCGCAATATTTCATGAAAGACATAAAACAACATCGACTTTCAGGAACATGCAGATGCACTGGCACCCGAGCTAAAGCACGAGATACTTTGTGTCTGGTATCAGGTCGAGATCCATCCATCCATTGTCTAGCGCTTATCTGCGGGGGCAACAGCTTTTGCAGGTCAGCCCAGACTTCCCTCTCCCCAGCCACTTCTTCCAACCCTTCCCGGGGGATCCCGAGGCGTTCCCAAGCCAGCTGGATGACATAGTCTCTCCAGCGTGTCCTGGGTCGTCCCCGGGGTCTCTTCCCGGTGGGACATGCCCGGAACACTTCACCAGGGAGGCATCCTAATCAGATGCCCGAGACACCTCGTCTGGCTCTTCTCGACGCGGGGGGGAAGCGGCTCAACTCTGAGCCTGTCACGGATGACCGAGCTTCTTACCTAATCTCTAAGGGCAAGCAGAGGAAACTAATTTCGGTTTTTATCCGGGATCTCGTTCTTTCGGTCACTACCCATAGCTCGTGACCAGAGGTGAGGGTAGGAACGTAGACTGACCGGTAAATCGAGAGCTTCACCTTTGGGCTCAGCCTCTTCTTCACCACGACAGACCGATACGAAGCCCGCATCACAGCAGATGCTGCACAGAACCGCCTGTCGATCTCCCGCTTCCATGCGAGATGAGGCCTGTATTTATGGGCAAGGCCACCTTGGAAACAGGAGTTGGCCCAGTGCTGCGCAGATTTTTTTATTTATTTATTTTTGGGGAAAAGTGTGGGGTGCCGTATGCATCTGCCAGATGTGATTTTCCTCAATGTTCACTTTAATTAAATTAGCTTTAATTAAAGATGACAAAAATGGATTTAGCCCATTCGAATTCTAAGTGGCTCATTGGCGACATGATCATTAGCTTGCCCGCAGCTTCCAGGAGACATATTGGTGAGCAGCTGTAAAATTAAAACTGCAGCATACTCTAACCGAGGCAAACGGTTTTGATCGTACACATACCCAGTATAGTTACAGTCGAGCGGCGAGTTTTGGACTTTGTTGTCTTGTTGTTAAACGCTTCACAGCGGTAGCTCCCGCTCTGACTGTCTAGAGCATTCCTCAGTCTGAGCTCAGGTCCAGAAGCGGGCAACGGGCCTCCATTCAAGAACCACAGGAAGACTGCAGGAGGTCGAGATCCAGCAGAGCAGGACAGGTTGATGTTGGACCCTTCCATGTGGTATTCCAGTGACGGGGACGTGGTCAGACGGATGTTTTCGGGGCCATCTGCCGCGTGGGGGTCATGTGGAGAAAAAAGGAGGCGCAACATGAAGGTCATTGATGGTGATGGAAAGCAACACGGTATCTAGAACTTCTACTCAAATACGGATTGTGAGTACTTTTGCCACCAGTGGCAATCAGAGGCGCTCACAGCTGATGAAGAGGTTGACCGGTTCGCTGGTGCCATTACTGATCACGTTGAACACGTGACACCTGAACGGTCTCTGGTCGTAGCGGATCACGCGGGTTAAGGTCAGCTTGGAGCCTCCATCAGTAATCCGAACCCTGCCGCCGGCTTTGATCTCGGAACTGCCATTCAGCCAGAGGAAAGAAAGTCCAGAACCGGCCGCGGTGGAGCAGGACATCGTGACCGGGTTGTTGGACTCTAACAGATCTGTGGCGCTCGGGATTAAAACCACACCGGTGATCCGTTCTATGAATGAAAAAAGAAATGACAGTTGAACGGTGCAACGTTAACTTTCACGATTTAAAGTTTGGAACTGTTCATAATTCCCTTAAACAGCAGCAACACTGCAGCGTATGTAAAAATGGCCAATCTGTGTATGAGTGCAACATACCATGGACGTCCAGTTTACAATTCCCTCTCTGCTGAGCTCCTCCAGCCGGTATCACAGTGACCGTGAAATCTCCGGCGTCTCTCAGGCTCACGTTCCTCAGTTCCAGCGATCCCGTGTGGCGGAAGAGGGTGATCCTGTCCCGGTACTCTTGCATGGTCTCGTTGACGCTAGTGGACGTTATGATATTCTTGAGGGTGCCATGGACATCTGTAACGCTCCAGGTGACCACCAGGAACGGTGTCGCCGGCGGAGTCACTGTTGTGGCGAACGTCACCGTTTCTCCAGCGATTGCCACTAGGCTGTCGGGCAGCACACCGGCTGCACGGCTGCAGCCTGAGGATGGAATTGATTCGTCATATGATCATGTTTTTAATTGAATATTCAAAAAAGGAATTACAGTACGGCACTTGATTCCTATGCTGTACCAACAGCAAAACGTTTTTTACAATTAAAAAAAAAAATCTGTTATGATAATGATGTATTCATACTTCCTGAAATAATAATGCCGTACAGTGCAGCGTACTGATACCGGTAAGTGACATTCTAAAATAATTTGACATATGTAAACTACTGTAGATTTCTCCAATGACATCAGAGATTTAAAATCCTCACGACAGTCATGAGAATGAGAACAAATCCAACAATGACAATAATCTGATCATCGCAACAAATATTTTGACTAAAAATGACAATGCTGAAGAACATTAGAACGGATTCAGAACATAACATTTAATTCACATTAAAATGCGCAAAGTGATAAATGTCCATTAAACAAACAAATGTACGGAACAAAATTGTCGAAAAGATCAAACGTACCAAATTAGCATAATTTTGTCGTCCTTTTCGAACTAATACAATAAAGTATGAATAGCATTCGCACATTGTAATAACTTAACAATCAATGGATGTGAAATGAACATTTGAGATTCGTATTTTTTAAGAAAAATGTAAGCTAGAGCACGCAACGCACGATTTTTGTCATTTCAAGAGTCCGAGCTGACCTGAGAGGGCCGCCAGCAGCAGCGGCAGCGGCAGCAGCAGCAGTCGTGTCATATTTGCAGGCTCCGGTCATCAATAAGCAGTTCCAGAGCGGAGGTGCAGTTAATACGCCGGTTGGAGGGGAGGAGCGTGAATCTACTTGAACCTTTGTCGAACTTTAATCGCTCGTTGAGTCTCTCCGTACATTTTTTTTTCCAATGTGTACTCATCCCATGCGTTAAAACAGGGGTCCCCAACCGCCGGTCCGCGGACCGGTACCGGTCCGCAGGGCATTTGGTACCGGGCCGCACAGAAAGAACTTGCCTTATTTCCGTTTTATTTATTTCGGAATACGAAATATGTTTTATTTTGAAAAATTACCGGATTCTCTGTTACATCCGTCTGTGTCACGCTTGACTCACGTCAAGGCACACTTCTCGGTCACGTGACCGATGACGCTCATAAACAAAACGCTGAAGCCCGCAAAATGAGTAAAAAAGCTGCTTGGAGATCGCAAATGACGGCGGCCTTAAAAGTACGTTCGAAACAAAAAAAAAACACACTTGAGGTGTCATTGTCTCCTATTACCCCGAGATGGGACTGTCTGATTGCAGAAAATCAAGCTCGGGGCTGTGGTGAGTCGTCATTTTCATGCACTTTGAATTTGCGTTGTATCGTATTTTGAAGGCATTAAACATTACCAGAGCGATAAGAGTGTTGCGACCAGATTAGACGCTCCTTGTGTTTATTATTATATTTCGAAAACACCACAGTTTTCATGCAGCTCATACCATTTTATTTTGTTGTATTAATCCGCCACACCTTAAATGCCGGTCCCTGAAAATATTGTCTGACTTAAACCGGTCCGTGGGGCAAAAAAGGTTGGGGACCCCTGCGTTAAAAGATGAAGCATTCAGGTGCACGACAGTAATTTAGTTCATTTACGGCAACGGTTCAATGCAAAATGGTGGCACGCGGGAAACGACTTCAGAAAGACAATTCTTGTTTAAAGATCATTTGGATTCTTTTGAATGAATTTATTGACGTTGTCATTAGCTTTAAACTAAAATCATCCGAATGATATCAAAGTAAACCCCCGATATAGTTTTCTCTTTACCCGAAGTGAATCCACACCATGCACGTGTATTGTATCACTTCTTTGAATCGAACCATTAATGTGAATTAAGTTCCCCCGCTGTATTATAATTCATTGATGTGCACCAGTGATTCATCATTAAAAAAAAACAATTGCCTGTAACAACAAGTAGAGCAAGAAAATATTTATTTATGGGGAGCATAGTAAAGAATACGTTTTCATATTCAAATTTCAATGTCATTTATGTCCCTAAGCCGTGAATTATTTATGCAAGAAACGTGGAGGCGTGAAGCCCAATGCGCTGTCCGAGTCCTTTGCGATGAACACCTGCAACAACCAACCAACCTTGATACACAACATGACTTTTGATAAACATTTATGGACCTGACCATCCCGATAAGGCGTTATCAGAAACCCATCAGAATGATGATGGCTCAATCACACCACTTTGGGTGGAGGGCGGATAATAAAAGAACAAAGTCAACATGGCCGAAAGGTCAATCGAGTTTGAGATTGATGCGTTTAATGTGACTAAGTGACACAAACATAAATTCGCATTAACGGCGGTTGAAATGAAATAAAATTAAAAGCTGTAAGTCGTTAAATATTACAACAGAATGTCACAACTCCTGATGTCCTTTTTATGATGATGTCGGGTGGCACTTTCGCTAATGGCTGAAATAACATTGGAGAAGGGCCCGAGGGCACGTAGACAAGCTTCATATGAAGATACAACAAACGCATCGCAATAAAGTGACGCAGTCTTTTAGCTCAGCATGAGTCCCAGTGACGTCAAGACAGCGCAAACCACCACGGACATTCTGACGGAAGCACAGGAGTCTGCATGGGAAGAAAAACACGTTAGTCGGTTGCCATTTTGCACCCATTACTTGAGCTTCGTCATCTTTCGCTAAGCCACGCCCCAAAGGAGACAAGCTGGCCACTCGCAGTTGTTTCCAATATTTGGTTTGCTCTTTTTTTTTTTTCGAAAGAAACATTGGTTCAATGATGAGTCACTCGTGACCATTTTCAAAATGCCCAAAAAATTGGGATCTGGATGAAGCCATGCGGTTCACCGCAAGGTCATCTGAATCCCTCAAAAATCAACGTCCGTATCGTTTTCTGCATCAGGGCCATAGCTGGATTGCTGAATGGATGGATAGCAGGTGGACTGATCGGCGGGTGGAGAAGCAGAACCACCAACAGTCAGATTGAAGGATGGTAGATGAACTGACACGTCGGCATTGGAAGAAAGTACTTGCACTGACGTAGCGTTCTACTCTTTTCCTTGATACTATTCCAATGTTAGTTTCACATATTTTGAATGGATGGGTGTGAAAATAGCCGAGCGTAGATGGATGGATGCATTGATGGATGATAGCTTTTTGGATGGCAAGGTGGATTGATTACATTCTAACTCAAGCTGGCTGGATGGGTGGGTGTAAAAATAGCCTAGAGTAGATGGATGGATGGGTTGGTGGATGATAGCTGGTTGGATGGAAAGGTGGATTGATTACATTCTAATTGAGGCTGGCTGGATGGGTGGATGGGTGAACGGATGGATGGATGTGAAAATAGCCTTGAGTAGATGGATGGATTGGTTGATGGATGATAGCTGGTTGGATGGAAAGATGAAGTAATTACATCCCAACTCAGGACGGATGGATGGATGGATGTGAAAATAGCCTAGGGTAGATCAATAGATATGCTGATGGAAGATTGATTACATCCTAACTCAGGCTGGCTGGATGGATGAATGGATGGATGATGGGCGGATGAGATAATGGCCTGTGTTTCATACAAATATCGACTGCAATTCTACCACGACAACCTCCGTGGCACAAGTGACCACAGGACAACTTCCGCACAAAGAAATGGAATCATATTTCACGAGGAAAGCCGACTGAAAGCACCGTCTTGCCTCAGAATCTTAACGTTCGTCGAATTTAACAGCCGTGACTCTAACGGGGGGCATGGCTCTTCATGAAAGGCGAAGAAGCGGTGAGAAAGAGAGCTCAAATACCCTGCAACGTGTGGACGGCGGAGACTTCCAACCCGGTGATTTCGTTGCGCGCCGTGCAAGTGTACTTCCCCAGGTCGCGCTTTTGCATTTCCTCGATGTAGTGCTCGGGCCCGGACATGACCGTGTGCTTGAAATTCCAGCTGAACTTGGCCTTGGGCAGTGAGTCGGCCGAGCAGAGCAGCGTGACGCTGTCCTCGAGTTCAGCGCCGACCGGATCCTGATCTATAAAGGGTTCGTCAGGCCCATCTAAGCAGAAAGGACGGAGAGGAGGTTATTCTGGATGATTTCCTGTATTGTTTGATTAGCCGCTTTTCTTGGTCGGTTCGTTAAATGACCTGCCATGGTTTTCTGAAAAGAGATTCATCAAGAAGGTAAATCATCAAGAACTTAATATTAACTCATACCATGCTATCGTGGAGCGACATTTTACCTCATACCAGAGCCTGGGCTCAATAAAGTTTAGGAAACACGGCTGCAGGTGATTTCATTTCACGGACGTGATCGAACAGGCGGGGCGGAGTACTTACAGAACACTTTCAGCTTGCATTTGGCTGTTGCAAAGCTGACGGCGTTACTGACGTTACACAGGAAGACTCCGGTGTCCTGTCTGTGCACGGGGCTGATGGACAGCACTCGGCCGCCGTCGTAGAAGACGAATCGGCCGCCGGGGAGCAGCGGCTTGCCTTTTATCTTCCACGCTCTGTTGGTCACCACACCGACAGCGTCGCAGGTCAGGTTGAGGGAGCTTTGACCTTCGAGCAAGTTTTCCGTGGGACAGGCCATCGCCGGGATGGACACGACACCTGTGCACAAAACGGAGATTCGGTCATGCGATGGAAAATGGAATTTGGAATCGCTTGGATACAAACAGTTTGGTCTTGGGAGTGTTTGAAAACACATCAAGTATTTTTTTTTGTTTGTTTTTGTTTTGCTGGCCATTGAATTTGGTTCAGTTATGACATCAGTACATGGGGAAAATTGACAGAAGAGTTTCTACCCATTCCTTGAGCTGGGCAAAGAGTCGCCATTTCCAAGTAACGACACTGTCTGACGAACAGCAAAAAGGTAAGCAGAGCTGCATTGAGTTTTGAAAGATGAGCAGATTCGTTTTGGTCAACAACTGTAGCATCAAATTAGCTTTACTGATGTCATTGACCTGCGAAGATGTTGACGCATCGGGTACTTGTGTTTGGTAATGGCTCTGCTGCAAGCACCCCATACACAGATCTGCACAAGTGTATGAAGTGCTGCTGACATTAATGAAAATACTGTCATACAGTTTACACTTGCTTTGTTCACAGCTGATTTTCGGGGGACTCAGAACTCAACATGCAGCTGCCCATTGGTTGTCATGGTGATCAAAACTCGCCATTGGCCCAGCGGTATCGGATGGACCGCTGCTCATTGGCGTGAGCCATGACCGCTCCTCCTAAACAGGCTAATTTCAGCAGGCCAAAAATTGGGGCTGAAAAATAAATACAATTGTGGAGAAAAAAAATTCTAAGTAAATCTCCATTAAATACACACATTGTACTCTACTTCAGGAATACTTAACGTGCCCATCTAAAAAATAATAATAAAAAAAAAAAAATTAATAAATTGCAGCAGGCATGCTGTTCCACTCCTGTCCTGTAGGTGGTGGTAACTGCAAAGTTGACATTTTGGGTATACCGTATTTTCGCCCAAATCCCCTTTTAATTAGGATCAACATCTGAAGCCTGTAACTATTTTAAAAATTATTGAAAATCGGGTAAATTTGGCATAAATCTGTAATTGATACGTTCCCATTTTATTGAATATGTGATTCTTCAACGTAACTGAATCGATATTTCCAATGGGACATTTCGCCAGATGCCCCACGGCTCAGTCTTACAATGATGTCAGCTCATCCTACTCACTGAGCACTTCCAATATGACATGTCCCACAATCGGCTGGCCAGCATGCGGGATGACCAGTAACTCGTATTCTCCGCTGTCTTCCTCCGTCAGATTTCCCAGCACCAACGATCCGGTGGTTTTATCCAGGGTGATCCTGCCCTCATAGCCTTCTCCCACCACATCCACGTTGGTCGAAGTTATCACACTGGTGGTCGTGTTGAAGCTCCAAGTCAGCGCCAGAAAGGGTTCCGACGTCGGTGTCAGTGACGTGGCAAAGGTCACGCTCTGTCCAGGCGTCCCACGCAGCCTGTCGACCGGGATTATTCCAGCTCCGTGGCAAAGACCTGCAAAAAAATAAATAAATAAATATCCGCACCATTCCCTATTGCCCAAAACATGATGGGCTGTTGATCCATTTGAAAGCATCGTTCCTCATACCTGAAAACAGCAGCGCAAAGACGGCTGCCTGGCAAAGCCTATCGGACGCCATCGCGTTTGATTCTTTCCTCTCCTCTTCGATGAGTGTATCACTTGTGCCCGCAGAGTTTGAGCTGCAAATGGAAAGAGTGCCTTGGAGATTATCTGCAATAAAGAAAACTTGATATCAACAAGTTCTACACTCAGCACGCTTAATTATTACCTCCATTAACACCACCAAAGTTACATAAGCAACAGTCTGATCCAACGTCTGACTGGACACACGTTATGTAGTAGTGGGGCATAAAATGTTGAAGGACCGTTGGAATTATTTTCATTCATACCCCCCCCCACCCCCCGCAAAAAAAGTTTACTTTTTACATTGATCGAGTTCCAAAACCTTCTCCTGTACCCATTTTAGACAATCACTACAACATCTGGTACATTTGTTGTGTCGCTTTGATAGTTGGAAATTATGCAAAAATCTTGTTTTGTCCAGTTCGAGTTTTGATAGGCGCGAGTCGGTATCACAAAGTGTGCGCCGCAGCCAACGGCCACACACAGCAAGTTTTTTTTTCAGTGCAACATGATCTTCTGAACCTGGTGGGTCGCGCCCACACTCAGACCAAATTCAACTGTTCATCCATCCATCCATTTTCTAATCTGCGTCGGCCTCACAGTGCTGAAGTGCAGGGTTGGATTCCGGGTTTGGCCTTCCTGTGTGGAGTTTGCATGTTCTCCCCATGCCTATGAGGGTTTTCTCCGGGTACTCCGGTTTCCTCCCACATTCCAAAAACATGCATTGCAGGTTAATGGAACACTCCAAATTGTCGCTAGGTGTGATTGTGAGCGTGGATGGTTGTTCGTCTCTGTGTGCCCTGCGATTGGCTGGCAACAAGTTTAGGGTGTCCCCCGCCCACTGCCCGAAGACAGCTGTGATAGGCTCCAGCAGCCCCCGCGACCCTTGTGAGGATGAAGCGGATCGGAAAATGGATGGAGGGACACCGTAACTACAATGAGGCTCGCGACAACAAAAAAAGAATTTATGCAAAGCATACGGTATCATAATTGTATCGGATTGACTTCCAGCACAACCACAAGAGGGCGACGCTGCGCCACGTTTGTGGTGGCGGACGCGAGCTGCAGCTTCCGTATTAATATCTTAGTCCAATGTTGATGCACTGTGGCCCAATATGCTGGGAGGGTGGCTTCTACTTGGACATGTACATTTAGAGCTGGCCCCGGTTGATGCGACATTCTCTGCTGTGCGAACTGCAGGAGGATTAAATGGACACACGAGCAGTGTTGTGTATTGTCTCTGTGGCTCTGACAGGTAAGGTTGCCCAACGTTTCAGCACTGATCTGGCTGACCTTAAAAGTGGAGAGTGTTTGTTCAACTAAATTGTGCTCGTCTGTATAAACAACGTGTTTTTTCTGCGTGTAATAAAAATAGAAGTAGTCTTAAAAAGCTACATGAAGTTATATTTGGGAATTGTTGCTTTGTAGACTGAGCAAGCCTGTCAAAGTGAAACAAACTAAGCCCGGCCATAAACTAAATGATAGGGCAACTTTTGAACCTGAACAAACATCCATTGATTTCTCAATGATTTGAAGTTTAAACTTTCACCAAAGAGCGGATCGTTTGCATCACTGGGTCAGGTTTTTTTTTTCCTTAGTCCAAATGTGTCCCCCAGGTTTAACCGCAGGATTCGGCGTGTTGCCCAACGGGCCTCTGACCGCAGCCGTGGGAGGCTCGGTGAGGTTCGACACGGAAGTGGCTCCCACGGAGACGCCGTTCCATACGGTGATCTGGACATTTGTCAGCGGCGGTAAAGAAACACCCGTGGTAACGGCCACATCTCAAAACAAAACGAGCGACGGGTATCAAGGCAGGATCACCCTCTTCATCCAGACGGGCTCTCTGGAGCTCAGAAAGCTGGCTCTCAATGACAGCGGCGAATATCGACTTGCCATTGTAACAGCCGACGGCAACTCAATCACAGGGACCACCACACTGGAGACGCTTGGTGAGCAGATGTTTCTTGTGTATCGAATCGAAGATGATGAGCACACTGTATTGTGTGTATCCTTTTTCATGTTACGTACACACCTAGTTGTGTGTGTTTATCATGAGTGGATTCCTTCTACGATGATATTGGACACGCTGAAATAATCCATCCGTTTTCTGTCATGCTCGTCCACGTTCGGGCCACGCAGGCCCGGAGTGATTAATCAAGACTTCTGACGATTTCCCAGTGGGCCGGGCTGCTACATATGCTTTTCAGAGCTGCTCCTCCAGCCTGCAGAATCATGTTGAAATCAGCAAATATAGCGCATCCAACATACTTGAATCCAATTATCACCTTCTTGGACAAACGTATGAATAACACACACCGGCAGGCCATCATATGATAGATACATAACATTGACTGCACTACCTGTCACTGGAAGAGTCACCGAGTGGCAGTAACTAAATACCAAAAGAAGCAATAATTTAATAGGCGATGAGCAACGACACTACTAGAACTATATTACCCCTTGTCTGTACAAACTAAGGAGTGCATCGGAAGTGGTGTGAGTAGATTTCAAAATAAGAGCTGTAAAACGAAGTGCAGTGTTAGCTGCCTTCATCTTGCTGGGCTTCAAAGTGTTAGATGAAATCTGTCTTGTTAAGTAGAACATGTGTTACCCTGTTATGTACACTTGTCTTTTGGTCTTTTGAAGTCCTTTTTCCCCATTTTATTTATTTTTTTGTTCTTGTTTTTTTTTTAACCCTTTCTTTCATTATTTGCTCACCTATTCTTTCGTCGAGGTGCTCAGGCCATAGCTCTGTCTAATAGATAGGTATTGCTTTGTCGCTATCTTGGTGGCAGGAAATATCTTGGAGGGGAGGACTTTCATTGGGACAGGCCATTGTCCCGTCTTATATAAAAGTAGTGCTTTGCCACCATTTTGTCGATAGGGAATTATACATCTTTGAGATTAGAAGCAAAAGTTCTGAATTTGCAAGAAAATGAGTTCATCCTTCGCCCAAATTTCATGAAAAATGCGTTTGGTAAAGTAGCATGCTCAAGTTCTCGTAAAACATACCATCCTCCATAACCACCAGCATGATTTCTGAACATTTTGTGTTACTTTGGACCCACAGTTCCAGTCTCCAATGTCAGCTTAACAGCCAGCAGCACAGACCTGGTGGAGTTCAACAGCACCGTCCGTCTGTCCTGCTCTTCGTTAGGATCGTCCATCTCCTTCCGTTGGATGAACGACAGCGCCGAGATCTTGCCCAGCGACAGAGTTCAGCTCAGCGACAAAGGCGCCACGCTCACCGTCGCCCCCGTGACCCGCTATGACCAGAGGTCGTTTCGATGTCACGTGGCCAACGTTGTCAGTGAAAGCTCCAGCAATTCGGTGCTTCTTTCCGTCAGCTGTGAGAGCCACTCTGGAAATATCTCACCACACCAAAACATTAGATCCACCTGCACAACCTAAACCGATCCAATAGAGAAGCCATATTTCCATGAATAATGAATGTACTTCTACTACTTACACTTTCTTCTTTGTATTTGATGTCAGCCTGGATGCTCTGTGCTGCCTCTCACAGGTCATCCTCAGTACTACAACACCTGGCTTGCGGAAGGGGACTCGTAAATGTCGATAGAGATATGGTTTTGTGTGCGATGTGTTGGCCATCTCAAATGACACCACACCTTATCCGTTTGGAATTTTTCATTGTCCCGTGTAGGGTGTCAGACGTTTTAAAAATCAGTTAAACGTTCAAAATTGGTGTGCGTGGACCTCGCTTTACTAGATTGTGCAGGGGTACCAAATTGTTGCGCTCAGTGAATGTATGACTTATTTCCAAAATAACTTTCCAAATATGCCGTCTACGCCCCGCACCTTTCAGATGGCCCGGATGACGCACATCTGGATATATCGCCACAGCAAGATTACATCGAAGAAGGGACTAACGTCGTCCTTTCCTGCTCGTCCGACTCCAGGCCGGCCGCCCTCTTTACCTGGTTTGTGGACGGGAAGGATCTGTCGATCTTGGCATCAAATCTCTCGCTGATGAACATTCGGCTGCATCAGAGTGGAAACTACAGCTGCCGGTCCTTTAACGCCAAAACTCTGAGACACAAAGACTCTCGGCAATGGCCAATTACTGTGATAGGTAAGGGCGACTACTCTCATTTTTAGGCCAGTTTCTTTTTCAATTGACATGGTTATTAATCCCATGGAAAACACAAATCCTTAATTAAAAAAAATGTTTGTGTGTATTATATATTTGCATTCAAATGATGTGTTTAACAGAGAGAATTTCCAGCACCTTTGTAACGCAGTCGACGGATCACCCAATTGAGGGGGCGGCGTTGGATGTTACCTGCGACGGCGCCGGGTCGATCTTCTTCAGACAGTGGAAGAAGGGCGGCTCAACCTTGGTCCCGGATGAGCGGGTGACGCTCCGCGACAAGAACCGGACCCTGTCCTTCCGCGCAGTCGTGAGATCGGACAGCGCTACGTATTCCTGTCAGATAAGCAACCCCATCAACGAGGAAGAAGTCGCGTTCAGCGTGCTGGTCAACTGTAAGTGACTGAAATGCTGCTCATGTCGGAACAGCGAAGCCACTGGCACAATTATGCAATTGCGGATTTCATATTACGTGTTTGGATGTTGATGTTGTACAATTGCGCCAACCTGGGAAGCCGAATTCATTCAAATCATTCGCACACAGTTCCATTCAAGCTCGGACTGCATTTGCGTGTGTTTTGTTTCTTTTTTCACAGTATTTTTCCCTTGTATCGGACCACCGTTTCCAAATATTACGTTGGTGGTTAGCTAACAAACAAACGCTCCAGAACAGATTGCGTTGGACTTCTCAGGTTTCACCGTGCATCCAGAACACACAATTGTACAAACGTCTCCAACATATTACTCTGTCTTGCAGTTGGCCCGGACCCAGTCCAAATCACGGGACCGAGCCAAATTCAGGTGAAGCAGACTTTGACTTTAACCTGCTCCGCCGCGTCCGTCCCATCAGCCACGTACACGTGGACGCGACTGAACCACACAGCGGCGCTACATAATGAATCAACGTTCATCAAAAGCAACGTGGACTTTGCTGACCGCGGGAGCTACGTCTGCAGCGCGACGAACAATATTACCGGGAAAAGCACCTCGGCGGTCCACAGTTTGGCTGTGACAGGCAAGTCGAAGCATTGATTCCGAAAAACATGCATTTGGAACATGCTGGACAGAGCTCGAGAGTGAGACCAATTTGGGTGCCCATGCAACCTAATTTCTCAACGGTGCGCCTAAAAAAAAATGAGAGGTTGCACTGGTGCAAGCAGACTTTCCAGTGGACGTTTAATATTTGCTTGAGTGGAATTTTGGTCAACAGAGTCCGAGCCTGTTACTGATCAGAGAGTCAACCACCTGATGAGACACAAGGGAAGGTGCTGGGCGGGGCTGTGAAGATGCGCAGCCAATCAGCTCACTGGATAAATCCACTTGTGCTGTCATTGGTCGACGTCGCACGCCGGGGAGCAATCATGCGTACAGCCATGTACAAAACATCTGAGTCATTCGGCATTTCTTTTCTGAATACAGAACTGTACTTTGGGGAAAAAAAACGCAATCACATCAATGCCGTTTATCGTGATATTTTGGGAGGAACTTTTGCGCGCACCAGTGCAACCGGTGCAAAAATTGAGTCTCGAGCCCTGCTGTAGCATCGCAGCACCACATAGCGAGAGAGAGATTTCTGGTTGTATGCATTCACAGATGAAACCGTTGCGTGTTCGGCCGGTTGCATCGCTGGCATTGTGGTGGCTTGTTTCATCATCTGTGCGGCAGCTGCTGGCGGCGGATTCGCCTTTTATCAACATCGGTAAGTCTACCGCATTCTCGCCATTGTCCGCCATTCTAATCATGCCTTGCGAGATGTAAAAAATAAATAAATAAGAGAAATAAATATTTGCGCCCAAAAGTCAGTCAAAATAAACATTCACGAATGACAATGTTGCAATACAGGAACAGGAACAAGACAATGAATTGCCCCGACGGAAACGCCTCCAACGGGACAGGTAAGCGTGACATGGGAATCATTCGATCCAGTCTGAGCTTTTATTCAGTTTTTGTACTGAGTCATGTTCAACTAAGCGTTACCTTGAGTGACATTTATTGGATTTTTTTTTTTTACAGGACGAAAAGGCCACGACAACACGAAAGAAACAAAAACTCAGGTACAAAAATTCAGTTCGTCTGGACCGGCTGACAATAAGACAATATACATCTACTTAAAAATTGTATGTGGAGCCAGGCGATTTTATTTTGTTCAACCACTTGATGAAATAAAACGGAGAAAAATTACACACTTTTTTTCAGTGCAGATACGGTTGGTCTTTGTAGCATATGCTAAAAAAACGAAACAAACGGCACCTCAAGACTGTTGTGTGGCACTGCGCCTACTTCAATACTGCTCAATATGTATTGGCTCATTTTACACCACCTGTCAAAACAGGAAAAAAAGCGGGTAAAATGTCAATCCGCAAAAAAACGTACTCATGACGTCGACGCTGAGATGGAACAAGTTAGTGTGTACGGGAATGATTGTGAGGAACTAAAAATCATCTGAAGCTGTCATAAAACCTTTGATCGGCAAAGGAGTGTTTTAACATCGACCATAAAACACAGTTGTGACAATATCCCACCTTGCTGGGTTTCTGTGTAAAAGGCCTAAGGCGGCTAATTGTCAAATCTTCTCCGGCTCTGGTGTGGCCATTTTGCGGGATGCGAGTGGCTCAAGTAAAACCACAGCTGCCTTTTTGTGGATTCATGAGACCAGGAAACACTTGACAACATTGGTTGATGACTGATAAGTCTGTGATCGTGTTTGTCGGGCCTGGTTGGACTTTGAACCAGGAAGGAGCTACATCGCTAACCGTTGTATTGAAGGGGGAAGTTTGCGTGGTCTGTGGTTGTGTCTCTTTAGAGAAGTGGTAGTTAAGTATTAATCCTTTTCCCGTCTGTCGAGCAGGAGTTGACCTATGCAGACCTGAGTATTCTCCGCGCAAAGAACGGCGGGGAAGTCAAGCTGCAGCAACGGGACAGTGAGACAGAATACGCCGAGGTCCGAGTGAACAACGTGCCTCCTTCCTACGACGTGCACATGCAGCGGATGAAGAGGCGAGCCCCTCAGCCGCTCGAAGCCTACGGAGGCCAAGTCGGCCAACAGGTTCACAGCAACGAGTGGTCGCGTCGCGGAAGTGGAGACCACCCAACGGTGTGACAGGCGGTCACAGTTCTTTAATGGTGCGCTAAAGGCGGCGAGTGTTTGCGGTCAATGTGTGTGCGCGTTAATCATTGATCTGTTGACTAAGAGTCACAAAAGCAAAGCGGTGCTTGATTAGATCCATCGACTTGATTGGATTCATCGACACACAGCGGGCTGAGTACGGACTGCAGGCAGTCTTGCCATGCAACACTTTGTAGAATTTATTTCACTCGGTTCAAAGTAATAAATAGCAGAATAAACACTTTCACATACACAGTACATTTAACATGGATTTTTGATGTAATCCAATTTCGGAAGCGCAAAACTGCTATTGTGGAGTAAAAATTTTTTTTCTCGGAGGCAGCACTTCATCACCAAACTGCCAAATTGTACTATATGTCCAAACACAAACACCCTGCCTCCACCTTGACAACTGCCTCAAACCTTTGAGAATGTGGGGTTCACACACGCGAATGCTATTAGCTAAAGCTAATCCATGCTCACACTGCAGCTCTGCTTACCTTTGTCGTACAGATAGTGTTTACGAATGGTGGCCAGATTCTGGTTGATGCTTGAAAATAGCTAATTCTCACTGAGTTCATTCATTCATTCACTTTCCGAACCGCTTGATCCTCACTAGGGTCGCGGGGGGAGCTGGAGCCTATCCCAGCCGTCTCCGGGCAGTAGGCGGGGGACACCCTGAATTGGTTGCCAGCCAATCGCAGGGCATTCTCACTGAGTCTTGCTGCTAATTACGACAAGAGACACTGTTAAAGCCCTTTATGGACACGGTTTGGAAGAATGGCTCATTTTCAGAAATAGCCAGCGAACAAAACATTTCACGGGTTGTGTAGTTTCCATCTCTTTGTATACGAGTAATTAAAATGTCAATTTTCCAATTTTCGAGGCTTTAAACCCTGTGAATCTGCCAAACGGTGCAGTTCAGTTCTGTTATTTATGCTATGTCCCTAGAATGCTAAAGCCCGTGAAAGTTTTAAACTTTGGTCAGATGAAAACTGTTTTCATCTGACCAACACGAATGTAGTGCACATTTAAAATTTTCAAAAGTGTAAAATGGACTTAAAGTGTCATGGGAATGTCTCTCAAAGGGACAAATAAAACATTTTTTTCTTGTGGGTTGCTTCCATACTTCTTGAATTTTTATCACATTGTTTAAACGTAAATGTTATCTAGCCAGGAACTCACGTATTTATGACCTTCAGATACTCTTGGTGTCTGCGTTCTCCTTTCACTTGACTTCAACTTTTCCACTCGCCACTTCCAAAACATGCGTTGAATCGTAATTATAACAACTATTAAAAAGAGGTGCGCCACTACAGTAACTCGGCTACATTTTTACTGCCAAATTTCGGCGGATTTCGACATTTCCTAGACGACTAGATCACGTGATTATATTAGGGGAAACCCATTGGTTCATCACCGTGATTTGTTCTGATGCTTTCACAAACACTTCGGAAAAATACGGGGGATGTGTTTGTTTACCGTGCAAACTGATAACAATTGCGTTCAGGTACTCTTGGTGAATGGGTAACTCATAAACACAAAAGGTGTTGAAACCATGCACAACCCCCTCCAAAGAACACAGAGAATTACTTGTTGCAAAATTTGAATTCCAATGTATTTTAGTGCGGTAGAAATGTTGCAATAAATCTAAAGTGCAAAGTGGAAATGTTGCAATTAGCAATGCAAGGATAAACCAGGAAATCATGTTGCAACATTGATGCTTCCGTCGGCCACATTATCCCTTCAAGCTCCATTAGGAGATATAGCGCCCTCTGGTGTATGACACCCTGAACGATCTCGTCATAAATTACTCCATCCCGGACGACCTTAGTCGTGAAAATCGAGACCCACTTTCAAGCGCCGGCCCAACAATCTTGTCTCATGCCTTGAAATTTAATTTTCTCCGTACCATGCTCATGATGCAAAACATTTGTATCTCAAATCATCATTCCCCATTGAAATGAATGGAAATACCATTAATTGTCTCCAGTCCCTACCCCCTACCGACACCCAAAATAAATAAATGTTTGTTTTTGAGAATAAGGGGATTTAGAATAACAAAGAATTAGTGTAAAGAATTAAACAGTTTGTACAATGATTTACGTGTTTCTGACATACCCGCCTCGGCCACAGGGAGGCAGTATAACGCAGTCTTCCAAACAAACATAGAAAAATCGGACTTCTACTTTTCTGACTCAGTGAGATGCTTTGATATTCGTGCTTTTTCATAGAGGACAACGAATGTGTGCCTGTGAGTGTTGGGATATTACATATGCTGTGTCAAGGTGTGTTCCTCCACCATTTCTGTTCAAACGTCCATTGCTTCTTCAACTGCGACCATCGATGAACATGCTACATACACACAGCAAATACATATGAAGTGCTACCTTACCGAGTGAAAATATTTGTATTGTCTTTGCAGGTGCTGTTTTTTTTTTTTTTTTTTTTTGCTCACACTATGCTTTCGCAAGTAGAATCGACGCCTGGTCGTCATGGCAACAAAAGCTTGACTCACCTTTCGCCCAGCAGTTTATTGGCTAAGATGCGGGCTGGTTCATTTGCATTATTTCATCTGGAGACAAGATATAGGGTGTGTAAATTAGTTTTTGATCCTTTGGCTATTTTAAAGATTATTAAGGTATTAAGATTCCAGGAAGCTGTTTAAAAAATAATGCATGGTGTCTCATTCAAAGCAATTTTCTTTCTTTCTGCTTCCGTTGGGTTTTTACATGGTGAGGGAACGATTAACATGAGTGATGTTCGCATGTTGACAATCCAGCACCTGTTCATCGGCACAAGTGGAGATAGCATTGTGACGCCTGGTTTGACTCGATGACAACCTTTGACCCGCTCGTGTAATTGATTCACCCGTAACTATAGCAAAGTCATCGGGACGTATGTCTGGAAATTTCAATGACTATCCTTCACCTCGCTGACTCATTTTTTTTTGTTTGTTTTGTTTGTTTTGCTTTGTTTTTTACACACTTCTGCAGTACAAGGTGTATGAATCACACAAAGCAAACAGGTGAGGGAGATAAAGGCCTCCGGTGTGTTTTGTCACATTACTCCTCCATAAACTCCTGCTGTCTTGTTCCATTTACCTTTAGATTATCTCACCTTGTTTTGTGTGTCCAAAAAACGTTTTGATATTTCATTTGAGTTGGTAAATACTCATACAGCAAAATGAGATTTGTGTCTGTGTGCGTGTTATTAATATTCTATAATTTTCTGTTCGTGCACACTGCCCCCTATGCATCCTTTCAGTTTCACTTTCACAAAAAAGTATTTAAAAATAAAATAATATAACAAGGCAGGTCACCTTTAACCTACGGCGACGCGTGACCTGCATCACCGGAAGTTGTTCAGTGGTCAGCAATTTGCAATTGCAGCTTGGGACTATAGCTGTTTCCTTATATCTTTTTTATTTTTATTATTCTTCTTCAAAGTTTGTTTGATGTACAATTCCCCGATGGCACTGGCAAAGAATGGCAATTTGGAGCGTCAGGAGAAGCGTTTTAAAACGGTACACGTGAGCTGCTACGATCGTGACGTTGTTGCACTGAAGACGCTGCCGAAGTGCGTCCAATGCCCGCCGCGTTAGGTCTCGACTAATAATAATAATAATAATAATATATTTATAAGGTAGACACTGATTACTTTTTACAAACTCACAAGCTCTTGTATTGACTTTTCTGTTTTTCTATCCATGTTCGGGGCTGTTGCTCATCATGGCGTGCACGTGCGCGAGCGGGTCGATCGCTGGAGGTCGGCACCCCCTGTGCTGCATGTTACAATCGGAAACTGTTGCCCTTTTTTAAAATCCATTTTCAGATACATGATGAAGATTTGATCACGTAAGCGTCACTGAAAAACGAAAAGACAAAGCAACGTATCGTGCCCTCTCTCGCTCTTTGGGAAGAGGAACTGCAAGGCAAATCCAAAGCTCCAATAAGAATCACTGTGATTGCATATGAACACACACGCGCAACCCCCCTCCTCGTCCCCCTCCGTCTTGATTTGATCTGCGCAGAAAAAGGCCTTAGTCTAAGAACCCTGAATGCACAGCAACCCCGCCGGGGGCCTCCTTCAGTATAGCTAAACATACCGCTTGTCATCATTTGTCATGCAGCAAACGTCACCTGAGATGGCAAACAAAAATGGAACACAGAAGCCACCTGCAGATAAGAACCAGCACGTTTGAGGAGATGGGGGTGGCACAAAAGAGGTACAGTACTGGTCAGGCACCTCAAAGCGGAGAGAAAACGGGCTGCAGTGCTGCTGCTGCTGCTTTCCATACAAGGTGATGCTCCAGTGATGTTCTTCTCTCTAATTTTCTGTAACTTCTTGCGTAAAAATAACACCCCCCCCCCGAACTTCAATCACTCATTCAACTCTATTCAGCAGACTCATGATCCTTTTAAAAGATTCATACAAAACATATTGTAAAAATACATACACAAAAATAATTTTTAAAAATTAAGAAAGGAAAACAAATGTACCAAAATCCCAAACAAAATAAATAATAATTTCAAGTGACAATAAAACAAAGGTGACTGCTACCTCATGGTCCCCAAAAAGACCCCCCCCCCCAAAAAAAAGCAACAAAACAAAAACTGGATTTATTTATTTATTTATTTATGTGATCAGAGGAGAGAAGCACTGACAGACATTTAAATCTTGTGCTTGTTCAAATTACAACATTCTGAACAGTGTTTTATCTACATTGATGTTAAATTTAAAATAAATTTATGATTTTATTACTATGGGAATTTTCCTTTAAGACAAGTATAATTTGTGAAGTTACATTTCTTGTCCTGTTGCTTTGCGGTCTTTTTTTTTCGGTGTATTCGAAATGTAATATTTCATTTAGAGATTCATTTATTCAAAACAAATTTATCTTGACTTTAATTACTGGGTGTGTTCAGATATTTAGCTGACTTACATATACAAAGCTTTTTATCTGACATTATCATGTTTTATTTGATCTTACAACTTCATTCAAATGCGACGACCGTGATGCTGCTTCATCTGTGAGGTCTTGTGCGACAAAGAGTTGTTTTTTTTTTAAATTTTTTAGAAGTTTTTATACACACTCTAAAATAATACAAACACATGGCAGGCTTGATTGATAACAAGGAAAAGGTGCGGCTGCTGAAAAGGCACGCCCGCCACTCCGGCTGGTGCTGAAAACCAAAAACATAAGACATAGCAAAACCATAACAGGCGCGAGATGCTTTTGCCTAACCAGGACTTGATTGGCAAAACTCGCAGTGGGTATTTGATCCGGGATGTTTCGAATAAAGCGTCAGTGTCAACAGTATCTCCGAGCATTTACGGGTCCCTTTCATGTCAAGCCTTTACAAAGCAACCGCTTTCTGTTGTTGTCATGACAAAAGAGCAATATTGACATAAGAACTTCATGTGATTCGGTATTTGGAGTGAAACAAAACAATTTTTTTGTTGTTTTTTTTTTTTTTTTTGTCATGATAGCATGTGTTTGTGCGCGTGTTTTGGCTTGCGCTGCCCTTTTCCCCCTCACATGCGACTTTCTGTCGCCAGGCATAATGGCATCAGCTCCCGTTTAACTTGTCCTGTGTCGTTATGCTCTGTTTGGAGAAACCTTCATCACCATCATCATCGTCATTGCTGTGTTGATGTTGTATTGAATTGAGTTGAATTTGAAGCCCGGTGCTTTAGTGGTTAGCATGTCGACCTCACAGTGCAGAGGTCATGGGTTCGATCCCGGCTCCGGCCTTCCTATGTGGAGTTTCCATGTTCTCCCTGTGCCTGCGTGGGTTTTCTCCGGGTACTCTGATTTCCTCCCACATTCCAAAAACATGAATGGCAGGCTGATTGAACACTCTAAAATTGTCCCGAGGTGTGAGTGTGAGCACAGATGGTTGTTCGTCTGTGTGTGCCCTGCGATTGGCTGGCAACCGGTTCAGGGTGTCCCCCGCCTACAAACAACAAAAAATATTCACTGAACAGACACAACATTACAGACATCATGAAGAAAAAATGACTGCTGGACTATAGTGCACATTCTTACTCTCACGCGTACATTCCTGTCCTTATTTTGCTGCCAAATATGGTTGAGACACTTGAAAATGAGTTTATCCCAGGGTGTCAAGTGGCCGGCAAAGACACTACAGTCCTGTGCAACGATACGAGCGGCAGGGAGGAGAATACGTCAACAATGGTTATTTGTGCATTCACAGAAGCTGGCGGTAATCGGACCACTCCTGAAAATCAGCCATGTCCAAACTTCAAATAGTATTTGACTCAGCTGGTATCTTCATTTTTTTAATTTTATTTATTTATTTTTGAAGGGGGTTGTCAGGTAAAAAAAAAAAAAAGTGTGGATTCCAACACCCGCGACCATGACAACTTCCGCTACGAATGAATGAGCCACCGAGCTCACTCAATTGTTGTCATTGTGCCGAAGAATAATTTGAAATTCTTGGAGAAATTATATCTTGGTGATTCATCAGGCAATGATTCCTGCTTCTGGATAATTGTTTTTAACGTAAATTGTAGATTTCCTCAGATTTCAGTATTCTGCCAAATGGGGGGGGAAATAATCATTCCATTAGTTTAATAATAATCATCATTTAACTAACTCCCTGAGTCGTCACCCGATTATATTGGAGTAGTTTGTGTGTCGTGGACAGACAATAGAACAGATCTCATTGTCATCTATTCTTTATCCTCTGCATAGAGCGACCGTAGTTAGAGCAGTACCAATGAGCCGAAAGGGGTAGAGAGCTTAGTTTTCTGGAGTTTTATTCCCCTGGCAGAGTCACCATGGGGAAAACTGACAATGTCGTATTGCTTTTAACGAGTTGTTAAAAATAAATGTCCTGTCAATCAGCAATTCATGTTTCATCCAAATTCACTTCTGTTGTAATGTTTGCCCATTGTATCACAATGTTTGCCTTCGTTCCAAGTGATGTCATCTGCTCGTGAAAATAAAATATTTATCCGGTTGGCACGGGCGATTGAAAGTGTGCAGAAAAGTCACTCGGCGCCACCACAAACACGGCAAACAGGTGAGGGTGGATCAAGTGTCAACACCAAGCTGTTTCGTTTCACTTTAAAATGCCACAGAGCGGAAGAGGCCCCCATGACCCCTATGTATGGGGCGGACATTCTTTTGAATCTCAGTAACTTCATCATGCAAAAATGATTGATTCAAATCCCATCGAGTGGTGATCATTAATGACAACAAACAAAAGACAATTCACGTACAGTATGTGAAAGTCATTTAGTGGCCTTTGTTTTTGAGTATCCACTCAGTGGCTTTGTGAACACAGTAAACAAGGAATATTTATTTTAGAACCAACTTACGGTCCATGGGCGCGCTAGAAGAACAACCGTCTTACTCCAAGTTTGTCCTTCAGACAATCCAAGGTCACATGGACAAACGCTCGCAACCCTGCTGTTCACACCGGGCCAATTTCGGGTCTTCAATGAACCCGACATGCCTGGTTTTGGAGCGCGGAAGGAATCCCGAGTACCCAAAATTAAAATGGGTACTTAATACGGTTTCCTACCACGAAACCTACGGCAAAAAAAATGTAATTATCATGGCTTCCACATCAATCAGTTCAATGAAATTGTATCTTTGTTGGTAAAACACCATAATACTGTGAGCAACTTTTTGCGTGTGCGTTTGCCTCGCTGAAATTGGCTTGCCTCAAAGTGTTCATGACGCAACAAGCTGCTCATTGGAAGTTTGCCGTCCAAGTAAACATAAAACAAAGGCAAAACAAACCACACATCGTCTGCTTTCGGCTAGCTTAAAGCTAGCACGCGATGCGAAACGCCATCGATGGGTTATGTAATACCATCCGTTGTCAAATATGTGATCGCGAAGAGTGAAAATCTCACATAAACAGACAATATAACAATATTTACAGGCATATATTCTTTATCGTAAGGAAAACAATTACGAATACTGGGGCAGTTCACTGAGTTTTGATAGTATCCCGACTCCAGGGGCCAAGTTGCGCACACCAGAAGGAGCTGCAACAAATTAATCATGATGCACAAGCCGATGGTTTACATTCTATTTGATTATGTTCATTACGTTAAGTTTTATCAAGTAAATACTGAGTGTTACTTGTCTGATTTTAAAACATTTTTTGTGTTATATTTGGGAGGGATGCTGGAACAGATTACTTAAAAGCATTTGCATTCATAGCAATTGGGAAAGATGAGTCGAGTGTTGTGAGTTCAGGCCGCTGTCACAAACCAAACTAAAATCATATCTTCAGGCACAGCTGTAAATATTTTTTAGGTTTTTCATAAATGTTGAACAGATCCTCATCGAATTGTAAAAGGATTCCCCATTCCTTAAATAATAACAAAATAAGACGTTTTGATGAATTGACTTTGCAAAGTGGCTTTTTGTTAGTTAAGCAAGTTGTTGAATATTGGCACAATCAATTATTTGTGTTTTTGCCTGACTCCAATTTTCACACAACGGGCGGATGTGAAATCGTTCATTCACCGCTAAAAATTCCAGTGTTTATTCAGCATCTGAAGGAATGCTGCCGGGGCTCAAAGGTCCTCATGTTATAAGTTAACGCTGAATGCATGGCGTCAGTGTTGCCCCCCCCCCCTCCCCACTCCCGCGACAAGTGGACGGAAAGTTGCCGGACAAGATGAGAGGTTTACAGTAAATGGACACTCCTGCGGCGCAGCTCCGGGAGGATCAGGGCATAACAGGGCGTGGTGGCTTTGTGGTGGCACTGCTGAGCATTTGCATCAACAGAAATTTGTGCAGAGCAAATATTTGCTTTCAAGAGAGCAGGCGGGATTGGTCACCGCGCGTGGGATTTCAATTAGTTTCGCTGAGAAGGCCCAAGGGAACGCAGCGATGGAGCCTCCGCTAATGTGTCTAATCATCCTATCCGTGTTATCCTGCTCGACAGGTAAGACTCGTCACATCTCTTGAAATTGAACCATACCAAGCAGTGCTGAAGAGCGACTGACGCCCCCCCACTCCCTCTGCCCTCCACCCCCATCAGATCGTGCGGGCGGTCAGGCCATATCTGCCTCGGAGAATCCAATCGCCGTGGGGAAAAATGTCACCCTTTTCAGCCAGAACCAAGTCACCACGGGCGCGTGGCTCTTCAACAACAACCTGGTGGTGATCATTATCCCCGGAGGTGCGATCCTCGCCGCCAACTGGACAAGCAGGGTGCTGTTCAATTCCACCACGTCGGCGTTGACGGTGATGTCGCTCAGCTTGGAGGAGTCCGGGACGTACACGCTGCAGGACGTGGGTTCCTCCGCTTCCCAGTTAGTGCTGTCGGTTCAAGGTAAGGAAGTGGCTTCCGGAGACGAAGTGGAGACGCCAGGCTAAGCAGGCAGCAAATGGATCAAGTGGTCATAAGCTTGGAGTGGCGACTTGACCGAGTCATTCGGTCGAGGTGGTCTGTTAGCTAAAATCGGATCCATCTTCCCCTTGAACCATAAATGGGATTAAAGATTGAAAATGGACCAGTGTATAAGTAGATAAATGGATGGATGCTTGGATGTGACTTGTGATTGATTGGCAACCAATTCAGGGCGTTTTAAATTCCAGCCAAGGCCCTGTGATTGACTGGCGACCAATCCAGCAGAGTTGGGATACTGTAGCCCAGGGGTGTCAAACTCCTTTTTGTCGCGGGCCACTTGTGAGTTACCGTTTTGACAGCGAAACCACAAACATGTTTCATCGCATTGTCGCATTATTACTTGTAAGGGTAACAAAATGACTGCAAAATCGCAACATCATTTATTTCACATGATTTCTGTATTTTTTATTTTTTTTTTTTTTTTAGCAAGGATCATGCAAGTTGACACGCATGATTTTCTTTCGGGGACAGGGGTACATAAAATGATGTGGCAGGCCGGCCCTGGCCCCCGGGCCTTGAGTTTGACACCTGTGCTGTCGCCACTTGACAGAAGTCTCGACTCCAGTCGCCAATTTTACGACTTCCGGCTCTCCTGGGCGAAAACTTTCGAGACTTAACTCGAACGTAACACAGGTCACATCGAACAAGACGAGTCTTTCCAGTTTACAGTTGAGAAGCGGCACTGTCAACATAGTGCGCCATTTAGGTTTTTTTTTTTTTTTTGGGGGGGGGGAGGGGGGCATGCCAAAAACAACCACGCAGAGCTTTTCTGTCTCTCTAACAGTCTGCTGCTATCTTCACACTCGCCGGCTCTGGCTGCCACTTTGCTCCTGGGCTTTCTCATCCAATCGCAGTGATGTCAGCCTCAATATTCACAGCCTTACAAACCTTCAGAATCTGGAGAACTCTTCACGCTGTTACATCAACAGAGCACTTTATTTATTCTAAATCGAGGGGGGGGGGGTGTTGCGCTCATCAGCAAGCTTTGCAGAAGCCTGATAACGATCCTAATGGGTGGGGTCTCTCGAGGACCGGACTTGGGCACCCTTGTTCTAAATCTAAACATGAACTAAAAATGAAATACTGGACAGAAAATGAAGCGAAATGAGAATTGGACTGTCCAAAAAAAAAAAAAATCGCATTGTTGAGAATTTTAACGACGAATTCAAATATTTACTGTACGAGGTGAAAAATATGTAGGACTTAGAATTACTATGACTCATGAAAACTCAATTCAACTTCTTGTGCCTGGTAACAAGTATTCAGGCCAGGATGATTTAATAATAGTCCACACTTTCTCGCGTTTCTGAGTGTCGCAAAAAAAAAAAAAAAAAACGACAACAAAACCCCCGATATGAATCGGAAAATCGGGCTTGATTTTAAAGATGAGAGTGCTTTAATTGAAGCAAATCCGGATCAGAGATGCTGCTCGCTTTCTGCTGATTTTGAAGTCGCAGCCATTTCAAGGGCATTTCCTCTTCAGCATAATAAGACAACGTGATCTCTTCAAGTATTTTGCTGTATGCAAACTAGTCCATGATCCCAGGCTTGTGCCAGACATCACTGTGAGAGCGATATTACCATATCATAATGCACCGCCGTGCTTCACAGTCTACTCAACTTCTCGAGTACTTTAAAACAACCGCCGTTGTATAACAAGTTCTGTACATGGAGCAAAAATAATTCATACAAGAAACAATAAACTCATAACAAAGGACAGTAGAAAGCACCAAAACAGTCAAACTAAAAATCACATCTCTTGCAGAGTCAAAAGTCAAAGAATAAAAACTCAGATCTCAGGACTTCTAATGGTGTCTGGTCCGCAAGACCTGAGGCACTGGACTGAAAGAATTGATGGACTGAAGTTGAAAGAATTGATTAAAAATATATATATATCATCTTAAAAAGAACTCTAAAATGTATAGAGAGCCAGTGAGGGGATGCCAGAGTAGGATTTATACGGTCCCTCTTACAAGTACCAGCCAAGAGGCGAGCAGCAGCATTTTGGACCAACTGGAGACGCTTAATGGAGGATTAGCTGACTCCAAAGTTAAGTGTTGTATTTCTGTCGCTTGAATTCACTGTTCAAAGAGACATCTGACAAACCTGTCTGTGGTTCTTGGACCAGGAAAAGCAATCTTACTTTCATTAGTCCCCCCAAAAATGCTTCTTTATTTCTTTTTAGGTCATTCTGGAGTTGATCATTGGCCCAGTCTTTGTTTGCAACTCCGACTATTGCTCGGTCCATTCAAGTGGTTGTTGACTCCAAACTTCGGCGCCATACTTTTTTTTTTTGACACAACTATCTCTTCTCCTACTTCAATACAGAGCCGATTTCGGGCGTGTCCATGACCACCAACGGCAGCCACCTGGTGGAGTTCAACGACACGGTGACGCTCACCTGCGCCGTGGTCACGGGCACTTCCCTTTCCTTCCAGTGGCTCAACGACACGGCCGAGGTGACGCCCGGCGGATACGTCCATTTCAACGACGACGGCTCCTCGCTCACCCTCGCCAAAGTGATGCGCTACGACGAGGGCCCGTTCAAGTGTAACGTGACCAACGGCATCAGCCAGGGAATCAGTTCGTCTGCACAATTCAACATCAGCTGTGAGTTACGAGCGTCGTTGCGGCACCGATCGAACGACGAATCATGATCGTGGCGTACTGGAAGCTTTGCCTCTGTCTTGGCGTCAACTTGAAAAGGAAAAAGTAACATGATGGAGGCGATGAACTCGTCTGTACCTTCGCTACAATACTTTTGTATTGGACGAAAATCTGTGTGTGTCGTTTTTGGCAGCCATCTTAGTTTTAGTCTTTGGACGAGAAAATGCTGATTACTCTTAAAAACATTTTCATCATCGATATTTAATAGTTTTAGTTGACAAAAAGTCAAAAAGGTTTGAGTCTTGTTTTAGTCACATCATTTTGACAAAATTCTAACATATTAAGGATATATAATGGCCCTAACTATCAATCAAGCAAAACATAAATACGGTTTTGATCGATTCCTTGGCTTTGTTCGTTTTTTAAATTTTTTTTGTAGTTTCTTTTACCCGCACCAATAGCAGGTGAACACGATATTCTGACTGTCATGCCTTCGTACGTGGGGAAAGGAGAAGATGACTACACTCAGAAGCTGCTGTAGGCCACAGCTTTCAACTAGACACTCACACGCAGGCTCGCTGACGTCACACGCCAGCCCATCAGGACCCGCCTCTTAAAGGCACATGCACGTTCACAGACCCCACGATATGTGCAGTACTTCCTCCACACTTTAGGCTTGAATTATTTTCATTTGTGTGTGTGTGTGTGTGTGCGTGTGCGTGTGCGTGTGTGTGTGTGTGTGTGTGTGTGTGTGTATGTGTGTGCTTAAGTGTAAAATATTTTCATAAGTGTATGTTGAAAGTTGGTGAGCTAAAACTTTAAAAAGTGTTTTGTTTTTTTTTTTTGCTTGAATATGGTCTCTCCATAA